CCATAGAGAAATTTCGAAAACATTTTACCGGAGCAGGCATTCGTATTAATGTCATGACCAACTTTCATACCAATAGAGCAATTTTTGCACCCATGAGAGCGATTTCAAAATTATTTTGGGGTCAAAATTCCACCCTTTTTCTCACTCTAAAAAGCGGCAGTTGGTTTCAGTTACACTCTAAGGTTTCGGCAGTTGGAAATTTCGCTCGTTTTTCGCTTTTTACGTCGCCGTCGTAACTCCGATCCCCAATAAAAATAATAGCTCCAATGCCGGGATTGAGACACACGTTTTGATACCACTTTTGTGGGGTTTCTCGCAGCGGTACGAGCCGCATTAACGGTAACGGAAGAAAAATATGGAATAATAATAAAGAGATCCTTCTATTGGGTGTAGAACAATAGGTGCCTGCCATGCAATGCATGGAGGCAGTGTCTGACCTGCTTTGCAGGTCAGTCACTGCTCTCCCTATGCATTGCTGGCAGGCCCCAATAAAGAGACATTCTATTGGGTGTAGAACAATAGGTGCCTGCCATGCAATGCATGGAGGCAGTGACTGACCTGCTTTGCAGGTCAGTCACTGCTCTCCTTATGCATTGCTAATGGCATGCCCCAATAAACAGACATTCTATTAGGTGAAGAACAATAGGTGCCTGCCATGCAATGCATGGAGGCAGTGACGTCACTGCTCTCCCTATGCATTGCTATGGGCAGGCCCCAATTAAACTTAATTCACTTTTTCCAATTGTTGTTTTTGTTGTGCCTTGGTGCTTTACTGCACAGTGACCTTGAGTGTCCTGAAATCCAATTTTTCATTATTATTTTTATTAATCATTGATGCCTCATAAGGTTATCCTCTGTTTAAACGTTTGTTGCATAAAAAAGTTCTAAAAGTATATAGAATAAAAAACATCTTAAGCATTTCATATTGCACACTGCCCCAACTCAATAACGAGACTTGGCTTGTCTGATTTGCTAAACATATAGGGTGCATAATGTATTATTTGATGTGTCCTGGTTTGTACTCTGCAGGATGACAGCACAGGAGAGATGATCTTTGATGAAGTGTTTCATGCATTGTCTAAGTGCCTGGCTGGACTGGCTCAACCATTTAAAGTTCCTGGAACAGATCAGCTTTTCAAGCCCAAGATCTTCATCACCATTTTGGTTTATTCATCAATAATTGGTCTTTCTTCTCACCAGGTTATATTTATCCTGTATTTCATCCACTTAACTAAAGCAAGTTTTCTTTCTAATGACTTGAGATGGTGTGTTTGTATTTGTGTGTGTGAAAGTAAGTGAAAGTGTGGGAGTGAATATATAGGTAACCATATTGTAAAATCTATGTATTGTCTTAGTTGACTTGAATGGAACTGCAGTGAAATTCAACATGTACTGTTCAGTTTTGTGTTTTTTTTGGTACCCAGTATTGGTGTTAGGGCAGACTGTGCACACCATTCTAATTTGTAGAACCGTATGAACATTTACATCTGATGGAGCAATTCCTTGCTGAGTGTTGATTTCCCTTGCAGGTTTTGGTACAGGGATGCCAGCTTGATAACGCAAACCTGAATGAGTTCCTACATCAGATCTATCAACAGCTCAGATCTCTGGAGAGCAACACAGCAGAAGTCCTGCATCAGCACCAACAACAGGTATGCCCTATAAGCTGTGTTGCACATAGTGTTATTGATGTTATAAAAACTTGACATCTCATCGCTGCATACTGTGAAATCCAACATGTTCACCACGTCAGGTGTATCAGAGATGGTCAAGAAACAGAGTATAGAGAGCTGGTTGACCGCTTGGTGGCATGGTGTGGAAATAATCATTTTGTCTTGAATATGAACATAACAAATAAAATTATTATAGATTTCAAGAGAAACGGGGTTAAATCAAACGCTATTTCCATCATGGGAGAAGATTTGAGAAACTGAAATACTTCCGAGTTCACCTGGATAATAGGCTAAGTTGGAGTTGCAACAGTAACACTATGATATTTTTTGACAAAACTTCTCCTGCTGTAGAAAAAAAATGAAGTAACATTACATTTATAGCAAACCCTTGTTTTTCTTAGGGGTTGTGTTCCAAAAATAACCCGTGATAGGTAGTTACCTTTATTTTTTTACAGTTATTACACAGCATACATAAATACTCTACATTAAAACCAAATAACAAACCCTGTTTTAAGGTCAG